AGGATTAAACACGGCCTCGAAACATCAACATACCTGTGACAAGCTATCCAAACGTATCTTTAATATAAAAACGTTTTTGAGAGCGCGACGGGTGTATTTTAAATCCCCGCAGTAGGACGACTCGGTGTTTTCACATTACCGTCGTCGTGCTTTCGTTCTTTTGTGACATCTAAACTCAGCTTGTGACGTGTCGATTTTATCAACAAAGGGAGGGAAGAGACGAGGAAGAGGAGGTAGTCCACGCCAACTACTATGCAGACGGGTCTTTTCACCGGATCTGAGTATGGACGGTAGTGCGCCAGCACCGGACCTGGACCGGTGGTCCCGGGAAGGGGGAGGGGCCGCCCGACCGTCTGTTACGTCGGCGACGCAGGTGTCCGTCAGCACAGGACGAGAAGGAGTCCTACCGGTGCCGTATTTCTCAGGTTCCATCCTCGACGTTTGTTTACACTTCTTTCTTAGTAAACTACTAAGTGATTTTTTTCTGGTCAATATCAAACACTAAGTCCATTTGGAGTGAGAAGTCTGGCGTGAATCAAACATATCGAGCGATTTGTGAAACGACCTGAGAGGGAAGAAGAAGTCCTCTCGAAGGAGTTTAGCGCAGACACAAGCCTACTTTAATAGATGCTCTTGAAGGAAAAACTGTAAGGGTTTTAAAGACGCTAGACACTTACACGAGAAACCCCCTTCCCGGTTCGTCGTCCGCGGTGTTCTACCTATCCACTTGGAAAAATAATGCCAAAGGTAAACTTAGTAAACTCCCATAAAACTACCTCTACATGAGTAATGCTACTTATCTACACCCACTACCACCTCCTGAGGGGGGAATGGTTGGGAGACAGGGTGACGAAAATAAACAAGTGAGCAAACCAATGAACAGCGAGTGAACAAAGTGAAAGTCTTGTAGAAATGGTTGGGTGCAGAATGATGCAGCCTCGATCTCTAGGCGCTGTCACGGGTGACACAAGTGGCTCCGCTGGCGAAGAGGGCGACCCCCCCCCACCCCACTCCAATACTAATAGTTTTGTGTCGACGTCATAAGTGCTTTTCACGCAGCAACTGGTAACGTACAATAAAACTGAGGAAGAGAGCGAGGATAGTCATACATCACAGAGCATCGACCTGCACCAAAATGTTCGAAATTACAAGTTTGTCGAGAAATAAATAGTACGACGGACAATAAAGTACGTGGAAAAAGTGGGAGACAGACTTTGGTCTCCGGGTCAGACGAGACTAACAATCGGGAGCGCCGCCGAGCAGCAGCCAAGATGACGGAATCGGACCTAATCATGCGCCACAACATCATAATCGGTTATCGTTCGCGTTGCCAATCACCTACAGTTGGGATAGAAATGTCTCCTCAGTTTTGTCTCCGCAAAGTCCGGTCCCTCAGTCCCCCTCCCTTGAAGACCCTAAAACGGGAAACGTCTGGTAATTGTACCGTGTGTTTTTGCTCATATTGTTTTGATGTCCTTTCCCTTTCGGTTTCTTTATCGTGTTAGAGCCGAGATATTTTATAATCCTCCTACAGTATTTAATCCGTAATGTCCTAATCAACCATCAAAATTCATAATATCATTAATAACAATTCCTACAATAACTTGGGACTGTGTATGCGGGTACAGTCCTCTATGTGACCAAGACACGCCACAATGGTTTGATAAAAAACTACCCTCGCCTACTTCTTATGCTAAACGTTCTGGGTCTGTAGACATGGGCAGTGGTCGCTTCTCCTGTGTACAGGGAGAATGAACCATTTGTGATATTTGTAGATAAAGACGGGTACCGCGTCTATATATTAACGATAACCTACTCCACGTGACCGCCAAGGCGGCTGATGATCTCTTAAGTTATTTTTGAGACGTAATACCTTTACTTTAATTTTTGGTGTTCCGCGTTCACAGGATCGAGCGTTGCAAGACTTGGATACGTATACTTTCGTCACACACCCCCTAGGATAGGCGCATGTCATCTGCTAACATGTCTCTCAACCGCTAGAAGTTGACACGCGGTACTGTGGGCCCCAGGCCTTACTGTACTTGCCCCACATAGCATTTCAGTCATGTTTCTTCAGTTTATTGAAAGGAAAGTTAGCGCAGCGGGTCAGACTCGTATACTTTTTTTGCTGCCTAGGACAGCGCCTACCACGGGGCGGCGACCCTACCTGCACACTGCAAAGCATTTGGACTTCACTTATGTAAAACCTAATGAATAACCTAATAACACCTTTCTAAAGGAAGTGTTGTAAATTTCATAAGTAATAATCCTTCCAACTGTCCAACACACCACACCCGAAAAATATCATTTAAAGTTGGAGAGATACAAAAATATGCATAAATAAAAAAATGTTAACTGGTAAAATAAGATATGAATGAACAACAAAAATCAAATAAGCTACATGTATTTTTTATTGGCTATGGTAGGTTATTGGTTATGTTCATATACTTATTTGATTATTAAAATGTAAACCGATCTTTTTCATATGGGTGTTTTAGAGTTGTACCCCCTAGGTCTAGTCTCTAGTAATTCTGCTCAAAGTGCTCCAGATTGAAGCATTTTAATTTAAAATGTTCAAAAAAATCTTCCCGGGGGCCATACCCCCGGACCCCACTAGAGGATGTGAAGTCCACCCCCCAATTCAAACATGTTCATACAATAATGAATACATTTGAAGCCATTTTGACATATATTACCTATGTCAATAAGTTTCTGTTTTTGTAGTGTATTGTCTTTAGTAGGGATTTTTTATTTATTCTTTATATATAAAATCTCGCCTAAAATCTCACCTAGGGCAGCAAATTGGCTAGAACCGGCCCTGGTACTAGGCCTCAAGAGCTTTTCTTGTGCTGACACATAGAAACAAGTTGGCGGGGCACACTTCGCACGTGCACACACTAAAAAATTCCACGCGCTCCGCACTCACATTATGCTGGGCCCACGTGCCTTAACACCGCTGCTATGACTCCATCTTAGGGGAAACACTGAGGAGTATTATGATATTGTATCTTAATGATAACGGCCCCTCACCTGACACCAGAACTTGTCATGGGGCAGTGCCAGCAGCCACTCCAGGTCCTCTGTGATGAATTTGGCATGTTCCAAAAACTCCTCCACCTCAGCGGGAGAGCCGTCTTCAGGAGGGGATTTGTAAGGCACAAAAAAACGGTCCTCCTTCCTTGCCGGGTGCTGATGTGAAACAAAAGGCACATGTTTTCCTTCTGATACAACTTGACTTGTGAAAGGTGAGTAAGGTGATTCTTTGACTGTTCTTTTGTATAAGATGATGTGATATGACTCACCAATGCAGGCAGTGTCTGCTCTTTTCCCAGCGGGCCCTTCTCAGTCACCTGCTGCTCATCCAGTGGCACTTGGGCACAGGCCATGGCTTTCCCTCTTTAATTTCTTCTACATCAAAACAACACAAAGACATTTCAATTACATTTTGTTCGGTACATCCTTTATTTCGATGTACTTGTAGTTTTGTGTTTTGTTTTTTTTAAAGGTAGCTCTTGTCATGTCATAGTTACAGTTTGACAGCTCAAAAGTGTACTTTTTTTAAATCATAGAACACGCTTTGTAAACTCTTTGTAAACACAGAATTGTGATTTGATTGATATTATATTCACCAAAAACAGAACCTGTCATGGATTATTCATTTTTTTCTTTTAAAACAAAGAGTTTGTTTTGTCTATACTTTATTAAATATAATGAGCAATTACAGAACTATAATCTCTCGTATTTGTTTGCCTTCTTTAAAAGCAGGACACGTCATTTTACTCACCTTCATTTATTATATCACTTACAACTACTTTTAATCACACTGAAATACTTCCAGTCCCACAGAATTACAGCATAACCAAAACCTAAACTGTGCAAAGAAGTAATATATAATCAGATTGTTTTGTATTATCCTTAGTCTAAGAGGGTACATTTACATTTGGTTGCATTTATTTATAATTGTTGTTTGTATTGGCTTTGTGCTATATATTTGTGAATGAACTATATGTCTGTACCTTGTCTTGTATACTGATGTTTGAACCTTATGCTCATTCGTTCAATGTGTTGTTTTGAAAGGTACCTCCATCTTCTTTTCTGCACTGTATAGTAATGGAAAGTATATACTGTATCTCCCGATGTCTTTAATCTAATGTTTAATCGGGAGCAGTACATCTTTGTAAACCCTGCAATGGAAAGGATGCAGGTAATATAGGGACATCGTGTATTACTCCCTTCTTCTGACATATTAGCAGTTGGAACGTGTCCAAACTGCTGAAGCAGGGAACTCCTGCTAGCTAGCTAGCAGCAGCGGTTTATAAAGTACTAACAGCTTGAGAGTTAGCCAAATTAACTTGCTGTTAGCTAGTTATATCAATGTTAGTTACGAGTGCTTATAGAATATAGCCACCTGTTAACCACCAACGTAACAGCCCAAGTCTGCTTACATCGAGACTGTAGGTTCATGCGTAGTCAGATGAGACAGCCTGCTAGCTATCAGCTAATCACCAAGTTACCGAACTGACAGCTCGGCAATGAATGGAGAGAAGCTAACGTTAATGTAACGTGGCTAACCTGCCAGTGACTTCAGGACCGTCCCTTTGTGACTCGTATGTACAATAATTGAAACGTTATCGGAAATGAACGCTTTAATAAATATGCTCACCTCTTAATGTGCCTATAAATCGTTAAAGCCATTTCGTCTAAAAAGACGTAGCAGCTTTCTACAGTTTCAGTTTCCTAAGGTTTCTAATCACCTGTGTCCTGCCCGGAAGTGACGTAATGTTGTTTTGTCTTTTACAGTTGCCTGTCTTTACCGCCCCCTGGTGGGCACCAGAGCGCAGCACAAGAGGGTTCATTTATCAAAAGATAAATGTATCTATCTATATACAGGTACATCTCAATAAATAAGAATATCGTGGAAAGGTTGATTAAGTTCAATATTTCTATTAAAAAAGGAAACTCGTATATTATATAGATTCATTTCACACAAAGTTAATTATTTCAAGTGGACCACTGAGCCACAGACTAGTTCCTTTTCTCCTTAGCACAGGCAAGACGCTTCTGACGTTGTCTCTGGTTCAGGAGTGGCTTGACACGAGGAATGCACACATGTATCCCATGTCCTGGATACTTCTGTGCGTGGTGGCTCTTGATGCACTGACTCTAGCCTCAGTCCAATCCTTGTGAAGCTCCCCAGCTTTTTGAATGACCTTTGCTTGACAATCCTCTCAAGGCTGTGGTTATCACCACAAGGACACAGTGTTGTTTCTGTTTTTTCCTGTTTATCTTCCTACACTGCTTTCCATTTGAGTAATAAAAAGATACAGGTATAAGAAGAATTTCCATCATACTCATCAGATAAACGAGTAGCTGACAAACAAACAAACCAACCTATCTTCCCAGCAACTAGTGGTTTTTGCATTCGTTCAAAGGAAAAGTGTGCTTTTATGGAAAACCATGCTGAATGTATTATATGATAGACTGATATGGAAAAGCATATGCAGAGACATGACCGATTTCTGCTTTTGCCATTTTCACGGATATTCCCAAAACACATACCTTCTCTGGTCAATTCCTGATGGTCTATTTTCGATTTGTCTCTAAAAGGCTGGTAAGATTTCTCCATTTCAACCTCTGTTCTTCTACTTCTTCGCCTTTATTTACAGCCAAAGCCTAAACTAACAACTTCTGACCAAACTACGCTTTGATTAGCCAGATTTATTCGCTCAAAACTTGTTTTATTTGCGAAAGTTATCTCCACATTTGAATGGACCCACACCTGTATATGTATAACGTCTTCACAGCTTAAACAGCACTACTGTAACACTGTCGGACTCAATGGACGGTTTTAAAACAAGAAGTATAAAAATCAATGCATCAGATCTTCACATCGTCCAAAACTCTGAGCTCCAGTTTGTTGTTTCTGCCAGTGTGTGACACAAGTGTGAATCTTTCATGATGTGCTAACTCCAGAGGAACAGCTGGAGTCCAGTAGCATGTTGCATGCTGCTCACACGGGAACGTTTGCGTTTATGCACAGTATGCGTTTTCAAAAAAGCCTTCCGTTCACACGTATTCGTTTCATTTGTCGTGTCTGTTCACACGAGAACGCTGGAAACGCTGTAGTACATATGCCGGGACTGTAAGTGGCGCTGTACTTCCACACGAGACCGCTCGAAAGCACTGGACACGCTGTAGTACATATGCCGGTGTCAGTGTGGTAGTTCATGTAATTCTCCATGTCCCCTTGTTGCTGATGGTTGTGGTAGAGGAACTGTAGATTTTGCACTAACATCTGTAGCATGGTCGTGCTGTAGATGTTGTACTAACATCTCTAGCATGGTCAGTAGCAGTAGCACTAGCAGTAGTTACTGACAGTAGCTACTGACCATGCTACAGCAGTGAGCAGCAGAGGTGGGGAGAGCCGGGGCTATGGCTTCATCTATCGGGAAATTATCGTATAGAGGCGATTACACAGAGCCGTTTGACCCCCCAGAGCGTTTCGTTTGCAAATCTATCCACCTTGGGAACCGTTATCGTTTGTGGGGTCCGTTTCTATCGTTTTGTTACGGCCTTGTGTAAATGAAAGGGCTATACGCAAGAGAAACTATGCGGATCCAACCCGTTTTGTTCTCGTGTAAACGGGGTCTCAGCGCTTTGATAACATCTTTATACATTTTAAAGCATGTGTTTTATAAATAAAAAATGTACGCTAGCGAGTGAGAGATCAGAAGGACTCATGCAGCGGTAGATTTTTTACATTCCACGTTTTCTCTCATCCGAGCACACAACAAAAAAAACTAAACAATATCACACCTCATCGACAGAATGGAGGTTAAAGGTCGGGGCTCACAGCAGACAAAAGGTGAGCAAACATTCCTGGGAGTGACGATGATGAAGTGGAAGAAGATGAGGTGATGGCTGTGTGTGTGTGTGTGTGTGTGTGTGTGTGTGTGTGAGAAAACAGAGCTCATTCAAAGTTAATCAGGCAGGCTGCTAACTTCTAACTTATGTAAATCTGCTGTTCTTCCCCTTCTTTTTGGGCTTCCTCTCTTCACTGAGAGAGCAGACTGGTNGTCCGAACCCGAATTGGACTCCTGACACTTATTTTAGTTTTGCTTAGTATTTATTACTAAACGGCTCCCTCAAGTACTTAGGTAGTGTAATCCACATCCTCAACAATAACTACTTGTGACTTCCACGAGTTTGTAGGGTCTCTACTCTAGACATCTTCGCGCTACAGTCGTCATCATTGACACCGGGCAAAGAGCTAGAGCTCATTCGACGAGGTCTCGGAGATTAAAGTTCGTATGATGCAGTAGCTCACGCGTGCTTAAGTGAAAAACTATACGGGTCGTATGTACACGATGCGTTCGTTCGGAGGAGCTGTAACTCTTTGCCGGACACACACAGACACACACACACACACACACACACACACACCACCACACAACACAACACACACACACAACATCACACACAACACAAACACAACACAGTGGACAGGTCACAGACAGAAGAGCGACGTGGTGAACGGTTCCAGCAGTACGTGGAGAGACGTACGAGACCAGGTCGAAGGTAGGTCGCCGGGAGACACCTCGTTAGGAGACTTGCGAGGTGGAATGTCGGGCTCTATTGACGTGTGTGTGTGTCTTGTGTGGTCTTATTTTGAACATTGTTCTCGGAGTGTTATCTCCTAACAACTCCGGTTTTGGTACAATATACCAATCCAATTATTTTTATGGTTTAGTTTGATATAGTAACCTCCTCTTTTATTAATTTGTGCATAGAAACCATAAAGACTATCGATACAAATCAGTGAGCTGCCGACTGGTAAAGTTTTGCTATAAAGACACTTTCCTTTATTCGATTGATTAGTACCATAATGGATCGACGATTACTGTGTAAATCTCAATGACAATAATGGTCAAAAGTTGAAATTAAATCTCAAGTGAGCTGTAGATTGAGTATGACATCACCTGTGGTCCCTTTGCTAAAGAAGAATAAGAGGACTTATATAGACTTCATTACATGAGAGATAAACTGATTTTACTAGCCTCCCTCAACAGTTTTTACAAAACTATTAGCGAATTTACAACAGTAAAGTCGATAATACATTACAAAGGTCGAAGAGTTTACTGCAGTTCGACGAAAGGTAACTACATTGAAATTTATACAGAAGTAAAACCTGACAACCAACTGTGTAATACCTTTGACAAAGTAGATATACTCTACAAAATATCTTGTTTACTATTAGTAATTATTCTTTGAATTTGAACTAACTAATCTTTTATGCATAATAACGTCGAGGATGTGTATCTTTATGGAATACAAGGTTTGGTATGCGTTTCAATCGACCATAATTATTCTCTCATCACTTAACAATAAGACAAGTAAATGAGCACCGATGTGAAAACATAGAATATCAAACATCAATTTAACATAAGAAGGAACATACAAAGTAATTACATGATGGTGCACCTGAAGGATATAGTAATAAGGTGCGAACATCAAAACACTCAGGAAAAGAACATTGACTATGTAAACTATAGTAAGAAGATAACACAAAATACTAAATTGAAATTACATAAGGGTTAATACAAAATCCTGAAATTGGTCAACGACAGTCATGTTGGGAACAATAAGGAGTCGAAATAACCTTTACACCAATATTTGGAGATTCGGTTGTTTAGAGATTTTTCTTCATGCCTCGGGGGTTTAACGAAGTGTAGATTTCCAGACCTGTGTCACTATACCCCGTATATTTAGTATAGTCTAAGGTTCAGAGGCCCACAAGTGTGACACTTCGTATTAGTGGTGACCTGCCGGTACACCTGCGAAGGGTGACTCCTGTGACTATGTACCATGGCCCGGTCGTAACGTTAGTAAACGTGCTTCGACAACAAGTTCGCAAAGAGAGCTTTAGGGTTTTTATACAGCCTTTGATATTAAACCCAGGCATAACTTATATTAATAAATTTTTTCTTTTTTATTCCTGAGGGTAAGGCGAGTAGAAGTTTCATGAAGGGCAACTCACGGTTAAGTCGTTGACAATCGATACTGATTGTGTGCTTAATTTACCCGAATACTTTTACTGGAAATACTAGACAGTAAAAGGTTGTTGTGAAAAACTGTCTGATTTACTTTTAGTAGGGGTAATAGTAGTAGTCAATAGGTTGTGGTCCTAGGACTTATGTCTACATAAACTTCACTAGTAGGCTGGTGCATGGACGGAGGCGAACCCAATTGGACAAGGTTAACCTTTGTTGTTCACATGTCAAGTGTTATCATATGTTATATAGGTTTATGCAACTTTGAGGAGGGAAGGTGAATGTAAATTTTCCTGTCGCTCACACAAGATTCCCAGGATGGGCCGCGGGACGAGGAGCGACGCCATCCTTCTGCACCGCATGCGTCCTCTTCTGCCGCGGGACGCCTGTAGTCGAGCGACCAGAGCAGGTCGGCACTACACCGTCCGGCTCGCCGCAGGGGACGTGAAGATATATCCCTGCCGCAGTCGACCCTCGTTTGTTGTACTGAGTTAAGGGAGACTATTTCCTTCGTAATGTGCGGTACAGAAAAATTGTGAGCGCGGTATCAAGACTCTAAGTTCTAAATCTAAGACTCCGCTCCCCTCTCAGGTAACGTCTTTGTCGGCACTTTGTTTATACCTCATTTTGATAAACATGAATAACTAATATGCACATATATATTGTGGAAGTAAATTACTTTATATTAGATTCTGTTCGATATAACTTAAGGGACCTCTACTGTTTTGTTTATTCTATATAATATATATGTTTTACGAAAAGAAAAGTACGAGGAATTAATTTCCAGTGGATGTCACATAATACGTTTTAGGTGAAGAAAGTACAGAAAAAGATGTAGTTTACACAGGCAGAGACACATTTCCTGAGACTTTAAAAGCCCTTGTTTCTAAGAGAGGAAAAACAGGACTAGGTAAATATATTTTGGACAGCACTTTTACCGATCTAGTGTAAAACCGGTGAAATACTACAGTATTGCACAAAACCGAACACATTGGTAATCGGTTAGTGTTGGAATTGGGGGGGAATAGTGGACTTAGAGGTTGATTCCGGGTACACAAGAACATATTGGTTCCAGAGCCACAGCCTTATCAGGTTTTTAGCGAGGATTGCAATGCCGGGATAGAGGAGTAAGGAATGGAGACCACCTTTCCAGTGCCCCAACATCCCTATTATCACCTATCCCTCTTAAGTTTTCCTGACATCCCTCTTCGCTCTGACGCATGAATTCTCCTTCAGTGTTTACGTGAAAGTGATAGGCTGGCACAAATACTACGCGGTCGCCTGCGCCTACTTACACCGCAAACGACGAGCACCCCTTTGATACCTTTGATCGTCAAACAGATATCTCGCCTGATGTTGTACCCTACTTAGAGCGCTCCCTGATGACATCTAGTACGATCTCTGAGACGTGGCACGACGAGCGCTACGATGACAACGAAATACGAAATACTTGGCACCTGTTGTCTCCTTTGTTAAGAAGGATACTGGTTTCAAATTGAACTTTATTTTTTTTCCTTTCACTTCTTGAATACGGAGGTGGGAGAGGGAGGCCAGTGTAATTATTTTACTAGGGTCTATGCCATACTAACATACTTCTTTAGAATTTTAGTTATGTTTCATAACATAATATTTGCAATCAGGAATTGTGGATAGTACAATGTAGTGGTCAAGTTTGTAGAAATTCAACTGTGCTCTTGGGGTGTGTCTGAGCCAACTTTACAACATGAAAAAACGTATAAGTCATTTTGATTGCAAGCATAAAAGAAAAACTAATATTATGACCTACTTGCAAGTTTTGTTTCGGAAACCGTTGAATGGTGAATGCAAAATTTTACGAATTATTCGTGGCGCATTGAAAGCTACTAAGTTATGAAAGGCAGTATTAGCAAACAAAGCCTCTTGCCGGGCTGACAAACTCTGCCGTTTACGACGCCGACGTCCGTAACGCCCCGTCGCAAGGATTCCGATTTACCTGATAAGCTGACCGTTTGGGTTTATAGAAGATGGTCTCCCGCACTCCCTCACCGAGGAATAAAATAGATTTCATTGCCTGTCTCTTAGCTCCCTGAAACCCCTTGTCCCCGACTTTGTCTCCCCAATATCCTACGACGCTTACTAGACAAACCACCAAAGCTCACGGTTCTGTGCAAGTCTCGTACAAACAATCAATATAGACACAGATATTATATAAGTAACTTTTAGTCAACATATATCCCCTGGAACATGGTAGAATAAGAGATAAATGATAAGGTAAATACAGTTAAGACACTACCGTGGGACTCGATACAAGAAGCGTCAAATACTTCTGATGGGGGTGTTCGTATACTATTCCGTACGAATTACTACTCCATACAGTTATGCAAAACACCAACTAAAAGTATATATATTTAAGATCCAGTAATTATACAATTTTCAACTTTAGTACCCTAGCAGCCCTAAGTCTGTGTGAAGGCAGAGACCTATACTTTATGAAGCGAGGTTGTCGGGGCCACGAAGTGTCAAGGAGGGGTAGAAGAGGCACATGTCTACGACGTAAGTCCGATCGTCTAGGATGTTTGGTGTGTGTAAATCTCCGTTCCTCACAACCTCCACACTCTGAGCCTAATCAAACTGGCATTAACAACACACACGGGGAGAACTATAAAAAAGCCCCCCAAGTAACACATCAGAGGCAAATCGACCTACACAAACGTGCTGCTCGGCCACAGGACGCACTCCATGCCTGAGCGTGGAGCACCCGCCAACCTATCAGGCTCGAAAAATGACATTCCCAGAACAAATGACTACATCTTCACTTCTAAGCAATGATACACCTGTGAGTTGGATGTAGAAAAGTCAGAATCAATATAGATGTTTTTATTTTCAAGTAAATTCAGATTGAACATAGTAAAAAAAATTAAGTTATAGTGTATATATTGATGCAAAACAAGTGAAAATTGACCTTTTTAGAGAGATTTAGTGAAAAAAACCCACTTTTGGGGTCATTTGGTTGTATTTGCCATATCTCTGGAACCCATCGGTCGATTTTGATGATTGACACCACTCTTGAACCGTTAGAGCCAATAGAATCGAGGGGAAGTTCCTAAAATCCATCTAAACATTACCATTGGTGAATGAGTGCCAGCACTCCCAAAACCGGAAGCTGGGTTGTATTCCTCACACACTCAGAAATCAGCAAAGGTAAGACATATTTGCCGTTTTGGCTCAGTAAAGCTACGCTGTGTGTGTTGTCTGGGTTTGCCTAAACTGCCGCAAGCTTTGGTCGCACAGTGATGATACTTATACCGCTAGAACCTGTGGAATCTCAGCTTTAATCTGATATCTTGGTTGTGCAGATCCGATAAGTAATAAAGTATTTATACCGTGAGTTCTGTACTAAGTGCGTTAGCATTCTTTGGCTCAGGGCCAATTCAGAGGCTCGGCGTTAGAGTTGTGTTTTGTTTCGGCTT